TCATGTAGTTGTGATCAAAAATACGCACGCAATAGCCTAAGATATGACCACCTTGCCATAGTACGAATTTTCGGCCAAAAAATCGCCGATGGCCAAAACTTTGGCATAGAAGCCGAATTCAGAAAAGTGCTCCCTACATTTTCGATAGGTCCTGGCCCCAGCAATACGTGGTTAAAATATTGGCACGCAATTCTGTTACACCCTGTATAGTCACATGGATCGAGGTCAATTCAATTCGTCGGTTTTGTTCAAATTCACGTAATAAATGATACGAGAGAAAGAATGAGAGTGATGGAGTGGATAAGTGAGAGCCGCTAGAGGAAACGATAACTCAAATCGAAAACAATGCACTGTGGATCACAGTGCGCAAACACGAACCCAAAGACAATTCGTCTCATGTAAATGTTCACAACTATAATACCATTCATGACACACTTCGTCGATTGTTGTCTTTCACATTTTTCCATGCAATCAATGAAAACTATCAGACCCATTGAATTACATAACTTTGAACAAACAAACACATTCGTTCCATTCATGACACTAGCACAATTTCTTCTTCTTTGTTTTTTGGTCACCCAACTGGATTCACTAATTCGATGATTCATTGAAAACTAGCGAAAGGCGAAGGATTCGAAAAAATATTACTGTAGTCATAAAGATTGTGTCACAATAATCGGCCATTGTGAATCGTAGGAAATTGACTTTTTTTGAAATTCCAATAGAATATTATTAAATGCATTACTTCATCCATAGCGATGTGCCTAACGAATGAAAGCAACATCAGCAATAACTTCATCAGCCATAACCAAGACCAAATAAGGACACATATATGTGTATTTAAAATTTTATGTGATCTTCATCATCATCATCATCATCGTTGTCATGTTTCTGTTATTCTCAATCGTGTGGCTATGCAAAGTGTGTTTAGCTGAGCATTCAGATTGAAGTGTAATAGCACGTGTGTTGTGGTTTAAGTAGGTTTGCTCGAATCTGATATCGCAAAATTGCGAGAAGGAAGTGCCAATGACGTCCAAACAAAGAAAAAAATAGAATCAAATTTTAGCGATTTGAATACGATCTCCTTCCGTAAATTCAAATGAAGAATCCAAAACATAAATTTCACCAAAGAAATCTTCATCATTTACTACTTGTTTTCAGTACTTTCAGTCAATTCAGTAGTAATTCGCCCCTTGGACAGACAGACAGACCAACATTCGGTTTTATATACAAATATAGATACCATCAGACATACAGTAAACTTGAAACATAAAAAAAGTACAGAAAAAAGCGGTAGACATTTTAGAAATTGATGTTGCGTATTTCAGAAAATAATTATGTTTTTCTCTTTGCCTTTGTGTACGTTCATTTTGAATGATGTGATTTAAGCGTGCGTCGGAAAAAAATACTAGAAAAAGGTTTTGCTAAACGTAACACAACCAGAAAGTTACACCGTGGAAATATGATTATTCAACTTGATATGCGTGGTGTGTGTCCAAAACGCCAAAAAGAGATTAAAAAAAACAATGCAAGCGTTAAACAAAAGAAGTATAATTTCTGGTTTTGTTTATATAATAAATTTTGATTAGAACATAAGAGCTTGGACGCAGGTCGAGAGAACCTTTATGATGATGGATTAGGCCGCTGAAGAAAAACCCACCCAATTTATTTGCATACAGAAATGAACTGTCAAATGAAAGAGCACAAAAATGGAAGCCATCCATAGCATGACCAACACTGTGGGTGTGTATTTTGGCATCATCTCTTTCGATTTTTCATATGTATTTTTCCGCATGTTCGCGTCAATCTGAGAAATAAGAAAAAAAATCGTGCCAATTGGACAAAACAAAAAACTCGTGCCTAATTTCATGGGCAAATACATTCCCTCCATCGACACCATCGAAGAAAGGTAAATAAAGAACGAAATACCGCATTTATCATCTAACGCTCAACTAGTATTGGTTTATTACAGCTGTGTCAATCGCTATGTGCTATGTACGCAAGTGCAGCGTTTCTGTGTTACATATTACTGTATGTGGCAATGATGAGCTGTGTCGATTTTGGTTGACCTTTGTGCGCGACAAAGCGAAAAACTATCGGCAAATAGTAGCAACAGCAACAAAAATATAATAGCACAAGTAATAGCAATAGTTGATGAGTATAACAACATTTTCTAACACAGTCATTTTAGTTTTAAACTAATTTCATTGCCCTGATGTAATGATGTAACTATTATAACTGACAATTTCTATACTTGCACGTAGCATTCACACTAAAATGTGAATCGACTGAGAGAACCCACGCACATCGGGCATACACCGTGTGGTCGGATCGGTTCATTTAAGTTTGTTTCGGTCTCTTACGCTATGTATTAGCCCATATACCTATGGATATCTGACTTCATGGCTGGTCTTTACGACCAAACGTTAAGCTTAAAACTATTACCTCTGCTCTATTCCAGTTGATACGAATATTTTCAGCTTGCAATTTTACCAAACATCCATTTTCATGCCAAAACATTTTGTTTAATTAACCACATTTTGTTTAATTAACCATTTTTTGTTTAATTAGCAACAAATACGTAGAATGCAGCGTATAGCAAACAGTGTTAATAAATCGGAATTGAATGGGCCGTCGAATTTACATTACAACAAATTTACTTGACTTCCATGAGATTTTCAATTTAAATGTCTTGTGCCACAGAGTCAACTGAGTAAATCAGTCATTTATGAAATATTCAACTGAGATAACAGTGTTTGAACCTTCATTTTTTTCATAAATGAAGTGTCGAAAAAATCGATACAAAATCAACTCCAAACAACAGCTCTGAATTTCATGTAATGCTTTGAACATCAAAATCAGCAAGCGATTATACGGTGAGGGCGAGTGTACAAACAGAAACAGATATGTGACTAAATCAGCTGGAGAATGAAGAGAAAATAAGAAAACCGCGTTGAAATGTTTACTGATACGGACCACAGTCATACAACAACAGACAATCAAATGGTCACTTATATATTTCGCCGATAAATTTCCACTTATATTCGATACTCAAACTCCGAGTTACCTCATTTAGTTGGGCTATTCCAAATCAAGACGCTAACATTAAGAGTCGGGCAATGTTACTGTCGCTTTGCAGTTGTGAGCAAATCGTTCAAATGTTCATACACAACTCACAGGCGCACTGTAATATCATCCAGTGAAATAATGAAATCGCCGCTTATAAGTGGACCACATCGAGTGTGAACCACTCAACGGTAAAATCATAATGAGCAGACCAACCTCTCATAAGCAAATCAGACGTTGACCGCGACTGCGTTATTACATTATGTAAAAAATATGACTAAACAAAATGATCTGGGCGAATGAGCGCGGGCATTCATTAAACGCTGTATGTAGAAAACATTTTCGAGTTTTTGGAGGAAATCACCAATAATTTTGGTATGGAGTTGATGTGATAGAGATGCTGATGGAAAATAGTACAAGCCCAGGGTCATTGAATTTGATTTGATTTGTTTGCTTCTGTCTTTCTCTCCTTTTTGGTCAAAAGGCAAACAGCGCTGCGCAATTATTAATAGGCGATGGTAGAATAGTTGTGGCACTTATTCCCAGCTGTGCGTTTCGGATGTTGAAATTTGTGTATTTCTTCTTCTAGGCGAAGAAAGCGTCGGTGGTGAAAAGGAAAAATTGCATCGAAAAGTGCGAGTTTGTGTGTAAAGCAAATTTGAAATCATCAAGCCCTTTTTGGGTCATCAATCAATCACATCGAGCATGAAAGAATGAACATTGAACAACGAATGACATCGCTAATTGAACAATTAAGCTATATTAAACGGATCAATGGCGTGTATTTCTTCTTATAAGAAGAAATAAATACATAAAAAATGATTTGATGAATCAAGAATGAAGTTTGAAGGTGTGGCTTATACTTGTATCATATGCTCATGATGCAAAAAATGCAAGCAATAATACCAAGCCACTTCACGGGTGAGAAGTACGAAAATATACATCGTAATTGAATTAATACCTAACTCAAATCAATAAATTTTGTCGTGTCACCATATGGCAATACCATAGCCACTTATCGCTTACATCCCTGGCAATTTGAATTGAAATTCGAATTTGAATTTGAATTTGAATTCCTATAGTCGTCAATTATTTATTAATCGAATAAGCCATCGATACATGTCCGAAATGTAAATGTAATGGAAATACATGTATGTAGGAAAACGTTTATTTCGCATTTTGTCTATTAATTAATTTAATTAAAATGTTTACTGGAGGGATGTGCACATTCCGGCGCGACTTTGTAATGTGGTGTCAAAGCACATGTACGGTGTTTTCAAACGTTCAAAATAAGCAGACGTAAATTTTAGCGTTGTCAATTCAAGTCTCTCGTATGTAATGAATAGCAGCACACTGTGATTTTGCGATTTCAAAAGCGAAAATGCGTTTGGTTTAGTGCGTGTCCCTTTAGCATTTGCAATGAATATAACGTTCCATTGCATTCAATGAAACTTACCGTCGCCTCATTAATTAAAACGTGTCCTTTGATGAAACGAGCATTTATGAAACTTCTCTCCACACACGGTTTGAAATCTACGCATACATCTATGCGATTTTCAGTAGAGTGGAGCGGTCTTTACGGAATTGCGTATAGTCTGACGTTTGGAAGCGGTTTTGGCAGAGAAATATATATTCTGTGCTTATGTTAGTTAACTACGCATCTGTCAATGCCAAAACCACTTTAAACGTCAGACTATACATAATTCCGTAAAGACCGTCCCGCTCTACTGAAAATCGCATAGACGTATGCGTAGATTTCAAACCATGCACTTCTGGCGGTGGGCATGACGGCTTTGTTGAACAGAATTATTGTTCAAAAAACGTTTGTCCAATTTCATCTGTAGCCATCTAGATCTACATAGGAGTTGTATATGACGAATGGCTTTGTGATGGTTTGAAACCAAAAACGTGGACTTCTTGGGACAACAGCACACTAAACATTAAACACTAAACACAACTATATCATTTGCGAGTATATTTTTTAGAGATATGGGAGAAATTTCAACTATTAGGTGTGTGAATTATTTACGGCCTTTTTTGTTTTGTTTTTTTAATTCCTTTATTTCAATAAAAAAATGAAAACTGATGAAAGTATTAGCCATCGGAAGCGACTACCTTTACCTATATTTCAGACAATTTACTGATAACATCTCGAAAAAATAATGGTACTTTTGACACTTTTAATGATTCTACCCATTTATTGACTACTTTGAAAATAAGTGAACCGTTATCCACTTAGGTCATTTTGAATAGTCTGAAACAAGTGGAAGTTATAAGAAGCAATGTCTGGAAAATAGAGCGGAGGCATAGTGGATATTCATGTTGAACTACTTCTCAGAAATTTTTGACTCTATGTGTAAGAAGTCAAGGAACACTTTTTCTCAAAAACCTCTTTTTTGTGGCATAGAGCAAATTTTCCGATTTTACTATCAGAAATTGATGAGAAGTTTGACAGACGTCAAGTGTGCGTTTACAATTTTTCGACTGCGACAAAATTTACAATTTTAAACATTTAAAACTTCTTTAAAAAACACAAAAAGTGTTTCTCTCAGTAGAAAAACCGACTCTGATTTTGGGTAAAGTGAATTTTTCTCAGGAAATAATTCACTTCTAACGAAAAAAAGTGTTTTGTGTGTTCACGTTCCACCGGCATCACCCATTTTCGAGGGAGGGATTGCAGCGCCATCTATAGTGACAATCGAAATGTGGTTTGATATGCCTCAGTCTATCGACAAGAGTCCATTCTTCATAATCAGTGCCAACCCGATACAAGAATAATTTTTTTTCTTTAAATGGAAGCAGAAGAGTAAAGTTTCTCGCAAATTTGTTTTGGTCGGTAAAAAAAACCACATATTTGATGCGTAAAAAAATTCTTTGTTTACAATTTGGCGAAATGACAGATACTGTTTTTGTAGCCTGTCATTAGGCCTTTCATATGAAGTTGGCACCAGTGTGGTCCAATGCAACCACGTACTGGTTACGCCATCTTCTAAAAGAGGCTGGAAATTAATTCACACACCCAATAAAAAAAATTGGACAAAAAAACGAAATGTTTTGTGTATAGTTTCGATGCACTGCCAAATCCACATTTTTGTATATATTGGGTCTGGGAATTAATCGTGTCGATTTTTCAAAAGATGGCGTAACTTTGCATGGTTGTATCGGGCAATACTTTTTTCTTTTTCACATGAGTGGTCTAGTGTCAAACTACAAAAATCATCATCTATCATTTCATCGAAGTTTGGATAAACATTTTTTTTTTGCGCCTTAAATATGTCAAATTTTGTACCGAAAAAGCAA